TTTAGGAGCGAGGAAGTCCCGGGAGGGAAATCTGGACGCTTTGTCGACTGCGGTGCCAATTTTTCGGGAAAAAGGTAGAACAAATATACATATTAAATTCAGAGATATCCATATTCAAAATATATAAATGACACGCATTATTTTATTATATATAGTTGGAGTTTATTTATAACTCTAGAACGGCATTCGAGGTTTGCACCGTTCCTGCTCCGTTGTTTTTCTCTGACAATGGCGAACAACAGCGGCTGCGCCTCAACTCCGGCGGCGAAGAGGAAGGAACAAGGGGATCGCTGCTGGGACTGACAGCTCGACTTGCTAATTGACTACATGTTTTCAAATCGAGTGTTGGTCTGGGCAGCAACAGAGTCCACGCTGACCACCGCGGAGAGGACGGCCCTCTGGGAGGTAATTACGGGCCGCCTCAATGCGGAAGGCCCAGCGTGGAAGGAGCGAGTCGAGTGGAAGAATTTATGGAACGCTCGAGTGTGTTCCGCACGGAAACACGACGGCCTGCTCGCGGTGGAGGCGGTGCGGACGGGCAGTGGTCCCAACCCGGTGGGTCCCCTCAACGAGGTTGAGAGCCGGATTCTGGCCATCATCAGGAGGGACTCGTCGAAGGGCTGCGGTGGTCTGCGTCCCAGGCAGTCCCTTCCGCCTTCCTCCGAGGCCTCGGTGAGGAACCCCACTTTGTGTTGCGCGTAAAATCGTCGTAATAGCGCAATAAGCGGAGGAAGGCACATAGAAAATACAAGAACACTCTGCAGTGCTGTTAACACAAACGAGCAATCGCAAGTTTTCTTTCTGGTTTTCTCTTAGAATTTAAAGGCTCTCATGAAAACTAGTGCGATAGAAAGTGCTCATTTGGCGCACTAATAATCCAATGTCGTGTTCGCACTTACCGTGTCGCACACTGTACACAAATCTCGACAGCGTTGGAGCCTCTGAGCCCCAACCTTTTGTGTGATAGGACTCCAGTCTGCTGCAAACCACAATGTGCACCAATTCTTTGCTCAACTAAAAATATATGCGTTTTATATTGAAACATTTTTGCCTAGCCAGCAAGAAAGAACAAATGCTGTTTCATTTTGAGCAGGAACTACATGTTTTGATGCTATGCAGTAGAGGGGCAGCAGTGATTACAGTGAATCTGCCTTGCACTGCCAGCAGAGCTGCTCTACCTAAAGGAGAGTCGGGGGGTGCCGGACCGCCGGCTGTTGATTGTGGTGAGCAGAGACTTACTCCCGCGTTCACAGGAAACATACGAGTTCGGTAATTCTTGCATGCATCGAGGAAAGCTACCAATGGCTTTTACATCTCACTCCAATGAAATGGCATGCCACTTGAGTGACAGCTCCATTATCATGGTCATGCAGGTGGTCACCAGTGGTCCATGATCACAGCTTCGATACACTACTGTTCTCAAATGCAATTATCTATTTTTCGTTTTAAATTTTGCAAGTTGAGCAATTAATATTAGACTTGTTTGGGGCACGGCAGTTATTCAAATGCTCTAAAGATATGAAATTTATGAACAGCAATGAAAATTAATCTGCCAGCTGAATCGGGTTGACAGAAGTGATGCTGCCACACGTTAGAGCGGTTTGTGACGTGCATGAAGGTAACGTTCAGTTCATGCCCAATTTATACAGGGTTGACTGTTTGTTTCCACACTGATATTGTGCGTTGCTTATGGCCCGTTCACACTGGGAGCTGACCCGCAAAGCAGTTCAAAGTGTGAAGTTAAAGGGGTACTGAATCAAAACTTGAAATATACCTTTCACGTTCAGAAATAAGTTAACCATGATCAACTCTATCTGCTAATGACAATAGACCGATCTCACCAGCCAGTTTGACTACGCCACCGCTGCCGCAATGCATCGAGGGAACTTTAGTCTTTCTGCGCGTGCGGCAACCTCGCTGGAACTCTGCGCGTGCATGGCACGAACAGTCTTGTGCACTGCCGAATGCCTCCTGTGAACTAAAGTTATGGCTGCCTCGCGCAAGTGCCAAAAGCTTGGTGAGATCGGTCTATTGCACGCTTGTATTTTAAACGGATCACTGTATTTTTTGTTCTGAATGTTCGATTCTGGCAAGTGCTCCAAAATCAGCCATCGAAAACCGCGATACGCCGCAAAACTTTGCGCGAATGGTTTGACGTACAGAGACCCATTTGCATAAACACGGCAGAACAGGCATAAAATGCACATGGTGCAATTCTGATCATAATTTTCAGTTGGTAGGCACATGTTGCAAACTTTAAAAAAAGCGTGGATGAAAACTGCAATGCTTGACGGCCTTCTCCATGCCGTTTACAGCTGCCCCGGATCAGCCCCAGGACACAGCCGCAGAGCTGCCCCCCAAGGCGAGGGAAGCCTACTATAAGGGACATCCTCGACGTACAGAGAGCAGCCCTGACTGCACAGCAGGAGACTGCTTGTAGCGAAGCAGGACAAGTAAAGCAGTTATGCAGCCCGTCAAACGCGTTGGCAGACCTGACTGGGGGAGCAGCGGATATCTTCGAATGTCCGCGGGCGGCCACATGAGGGGCCCCTGACTGCAAGTCGCCCCGATCTCCAAGATGATGGCCCCAGTGGGCGTTGACACTCTGCTGTGCTACGCCATCTCGGTGGAGCACTCATAAGAGCAACGCTGAGGAGATCAGAGACGCCAAGGAGTCTTTGAGAGTGCCAAGATCCAGTAGAACAACAGTGAGAAGATCACGTGAGGTGTCAATTGTCAGCTTTGTGATTCAGCCGTCCAGTTCTCCCGCCTTCCTCATCCAGTCACGCTTGCGGCGCACCAGCCCACGAGGATGGAGACTATAAAAGGCAAACCTTATCACTGGAGTTTATTTTAAAGCGACAATGCCGGGGAGCGTTCCCTCATTACTGCAAGGGTCGAGTGGTTTGATGCCCAGGGAGGAGGAGTGGGGCGCCGGACCATTGGACCGTGGTCGACAAGCTTGTATCCCACCACCTACTGGCGAGAGCCCCTCGCCACGTATGTCGACCTGCAGGCTACCGAGACCAAGGGCTGCGCCCTGGTTGAGGCCGAGGAGTGCCCTGCGGTTAGGTTAGGCTAGGTTACTCGTTTAAATAGCGGGTGTTATTTTGGGGGGTGGCTTTAACAGCCGTTGTTGTAGTCGCCATTCAAAAAGACTGTGATGATTTTACTTAGGTATGCCTCTTTTCCCAGGTCATCGGTACTTGGGCCCCGGGTACCCACTGGACAACGGTGAACCAGTGGACAAAGACGACTAGATAGCCTGGCGTCACGATCACCACTACTCGAATGCAACTACCGACAAGACATCTTTGACGCCGATCACGAGGCCATCAGCGACTTTGTGAGTGACTGGGCTGACCGGCGTTCGTAGCACTCTCTCGTTGGCACGGCGGGACTCGGTTTCAAAAATTTCGTGGAAGAAAAGGCTCTTGGCCGTACACTCTATGGAGGGGGAGACAAGTCCGGACGGAAACATAGTCACGATAGCGGGTCATCACCACCCGAATTCAAGCGGCCCTATGGAAATTTAGTCGCAACTTTATCGACTGAGCCCTCTATTCCGGGACAGCCGCCGCAGACTCCTCCTCCTCCTCAGCAGACCCATGCCCAAAGGACCAAAAGACCTCGCAAGACCTCACCCAACGTCCCCAGCCCAGGAGGAGCAGGAATTGGAAGTAATACTCAGAATGAAGGAGTCGTCGTACAGCAAATTTTGCGCGTCCCCCGGGACCAAGGAGTGGTTTCCGTATACAGTGACAGTAAATTACTTACCACCTGGGGGTACGCCACCGTGTTAACACAAATATCATACTCGCGCGAAAAAATATACTATGGCTACTTCACATCAATGTCGCGCCTGCTGGCCGAATTTCCATATTTATCTAATAATATGCCAAGTACTTTTAAATCCTTGCCAACAAATACCAAAGCCATATCTTGCCGCGCAAAAATCACGCCTCATGGAATTCGGACACCTTGGAAAACTGGAACTAGCGTGGTACAACCCGTCAGCTCTGACATGTTGGTTCATGGCGTTAGTTCGGTTGGCTTAAACTTGTATCTCGATACGGGTATGGCTAAGCCAGGTACAACAGAGAATCAAATGCTAACAATGGCACCCAGCAAATTTCACACTAACAACCATTGGCTCTTAATCGAAAAATATTGGGGTGTTAGTATGGACAACCAGGGCACATTAACAAAATCCGACAGGATTCCCACATGCATGGGCGTACCTCGACACAACAATTGTTACGACTTTATTCATTGTTCCGACTTTACGCCCCATAGCAACAAGTTTATTAACACGTTTCCCTTCAAAAGTCACGTTGGCACCCCAATAAATAATTACGATTATACCTTTCAAAACGGTTGGTTGCGCACGTGCGCCCCCATCTGCAGAGATTCAAAGACGTACATTGCCGCATCTGCCAATATCATGGGAAAAGCGCTTCCAACCCTAGACTCTACGGTGACCGACAAAGACGTGCCAACGTCTACGATAACGCTGCAAAAAAACAACTCGCAGACTTCGACAGCGACTACGACAGACCAATCGAACGCGAATACAGTCACCAGGGCTTAGTGACAAATCCCAATTGTGGCAAGGCACAACCAAGCACTGGCTTTGGAATCCTGGTAGTAAGCAAAAAACTAACGACTCTCCAGGCAGCGACAATAAATTTCAAGACGTGTCGGCCTTTTTTCAGGTGGACACGGAATTGGTGCTTCACTCTAGCAACGATAGCATATCGCCAGAGAACCAACCCATTTATGTAGTCGATGGAACAGCCAAGATGCTGCCTGAAGCACGGGTTGAGTTCAACACCCCGTACTATTCGGGGCTCATCACGGCACTCTGCTAGGCGGAGCCACTCTATGACCTAATCCTTGGAAATATAAAAAGCGCCAGGGCACCAGATGACCCCAAGGAGGCAGTTGAACAACCCATCGGCAACAAGCCCGCTAAGGAGGAAGCTGTAGCAGCAGTTGTAATGCACTCACAGGCGAGGAACCAACCCCAAAAGTTCCAAACTCTCAAAGCCCCCGACGTCGCAGTACAGCCGCTGAACAGGAATTACGCGGATGAGCAGGAAGAGAACGAGTCGCTCAAGCCACGCTTCTCTCAGATTGGCAAGAAATTGATGTGCAGGGACTCCGAAGGAAAGATTGATTTCCAGTGGGAGGGTGGGCTACTCTACCGAAGCTACACCGAGAAAACCGGACGCATGGTGCGTCGGCTGGTCGTCCCAAGGTGCCATCGAGAGGCGGTATCGAAACTTGCACATGACGGAATAATGGCTGGTCATTTCGGCGAGCAAAAGGCGAAGGACCGAATTTCGGACGAATTTTTCTGGCCAGGCATCACCGCAGACGTGAAGAGATTTGTCACCTCCTGCGACATCTGCCAGACAATAATCCCAAAGGGCAGGGTAAATCGTGTGCCGCTAGGGGAGGCACCGCTCATTGAAACCCATTTAAAAGAGTGGCCATAGACATTGTGGGCCCAATCCAAGCACGGAAATCAGTGTATCCTGACCCTAATGGATTACGCAACCCGATACCCGGAGGCCGTGGCGCTGCCAAGTGTGGAGAGGGTCGCTGAAGCGCTAGTGAAAATATTCTCTCGATTTGGCCTCCCTAACAAAGTCCTAAGCAACCGGGGCACCGATTTTACTTCTGACTTGATGAAGGAGGTTGCCCAACTTCTCTTCATACGCCAGCTGCATACAATGCCGTACCACCCTACGGCAAATGGGATGGTCGAGAGATTCAATGGCACCCTGAAACTGATGTTAAAGAGAATGTGGGCCGAAAAACCGAGACTGGGACCTGGTGCTGTTGTAAGCAGTGAGAGAGTGCAGGCGAGCCGGTAATCAATCGACATCTTGTAAACCCTGAGATGGGGAACGATAAAAAAACGGACGAACACAACAAAATCTTTTTGCTCTTTGCGTACGTCCCACAGGCAAGTTTGGGCTTCTCGCCCTTTGAGCTGTTGTGTGGGTGGCATGTGAGGGGACCCCTGGCCATTTTGAAGGAACTGTGGACAAACTACCAGCTCGATGAGGAGGAGAAGACAACTTACCACCACGTTCAGTTCAGCACGAAGTTCAGCACGAATTAAGTTAATAACAATATTTTGGCACCTTAAAGGGAAGCTACGGAGCTTCTTGGAAAAAATGAGTTAGAAGTGAATTCTAGTGTATTTTTACCCCGTGAACCCGAATACCCAAACCATTTGCTGCGTAAGTATTGTTAAAAGCGAGAAAAACGCGAAAGACAGTCGCTGTCCGTGACGTCATCGACGGCTCTTTTGGCTGCCCAAGGCTAGGGGGGCGGGGCTTCAGCCCTATTTTGAAATTGCTGTTGTGGCTCTCCGGCGCGTCGCATTGAAATATAATTTTGATATCTGTTATTCTAAAGGCCAAATGAACGCAATTCAAGCGTTTTTTCTCAAATCTAGAAGTGCCCCATCTTCCCTTTAAATCATTTTAACACACATTATTTCTACTTGCTTTTATTGTAAGCTACTTGTAACATTTTGCACCCGCTTTCTTAGCAACTTGATAGAATTAATAATATTTTGTGTGCTTTATTTCTCTAGAACTGATGCATCCACCGAGCAGTCAAAGGCCAAAAGGTTCTACAAAACAAAGTTCCCGATTTCTGAGTTGAACCCGAGAGAACTTTAGACAGGTGCTCCATCTGCGGCATATCGCAGTGCACGGCTAAACTGACCTTCGTGGGGACAATAATTTGAGCGGACATCACGTGTCCCAACTCCCACGTCAGCACTTGGTGCAGTCAGCCGGTCCTCCACAAAAAGCCAATGGGGAACCTCACTGTCTGTTCTGCTATCCTGTTTTCAGGAAGTAGCCCCGCGAAGGTATAACGACTATTTTCCTTCCTTGGAATGGAGTCAGTGATGAAGTCACAGTATTTCAAAATTCAGTGATGCTGCCTGCAGTAACAGGTTTAAGGAACCTGGAACGTTTGAAACAGTAAACAGGACTGGACTTGCACATCCTCATTTTTTATAGGTCTGGTTTCATGAGCAGGCAACTGCCCTGGCTGAACTTCGAGGAAGAGAGGCCTTGCAGGAGACGGAAGGACTGATACGCCATTCTGCGGACTTTGGAACATACACTCTGCTGGAGACAACTGCTAATCATATCCTGCACAGAAGCTTGTGAAGATAGATTATAAAATAAAAAATGCTACATTTATTTTAGACTTGGGGTCTCATCGCTTATCAAAAAATCTAACTCACGAGATCCAGGTTTGAGGTTGAAGAGCAACTAAAGCTAAAGACAGTAAATGACCCTGCAAAGGACTAGACTGATTTGCAAACTTGCATGCTCTTCAATACAATAATATTAGCACTGCAAGCAGTATTCACTAAGTTTGTACTTTAGCAACCAATAAATTTGCTGCCCCTTGGCGGCAGTGAGACGGTACATACAAACCTGTTCGGCATTTTGCGGCATGCAAAGAGCTCCGTGACATGTTTGTAGATGATATGTTCTAATAACTTGCATAAGTGGGATGTGATTTAAGAAGAAAGGTCTGTAGTTCGATAATAAATCTGTTTCCAGATATAAGTTTCCAGATCCAAGAAAAAGAACTGTGGCAGTTGGTAGCATTTTTAAAAAAAAAAGACGTACAGCACTGTACATCTCTGGTGGAAGAAAATTGTTTGCATCGCGGTACATTGTAGTCAGTTTCTTGAAGTTTCAAGAAACTGAACCAACAATGTAGGTGACTGCACACCTTACATTTATTACCAAAAATGACATTGTCAAAAGACCCTGGACAGAAAGTTTTGTATAATTGGTGCAGCGGTCTGTCTTAAAATTGAACTAAAAAGGCCAGCTTTCATTTGGTATCAATTTATTTCCCTTCGAGAGCAGATTACATATAGTGTTGGTTTTTTTTAGATTTGATAGGCATAAATACACAGCCCTTAGTTTGAGCTCACATTGAGCAATTTTTTTACTAGGTTCCAGGCCTTCCTGGATCAAGGGATTGACAGCGGTTTCCCACCAACAAGGCGAAGTCAACGTATGTCCATCGACATGATAAGACTTAACTGACATTGCAGGGCACCTGTGAATACAGACGCCACTTTGTGGATCATTTTACGGGTCCAACAAGCAAGATCCGCGACTCGAGGATTTATAAGTTACCACTTGGGTCACTGAGCATCCTATTCCTACGCAGCATGGGCAAGTACCAACTTCCTGGCAATGCAGCATGCCAGTTGAGGAAGACTTTAGTCACTCCTTCTTGGGATTATGGGACATTGACTTGCCAGCAGAAGAGCTTTGACACTGTGTTGGGCTCCACAAGGGTGCTCATTCAGAATGCCTTCGGGCTACTCAAACAATGCTTTGGGCAACTGATAACCCTAGAGTTACTGACAGTGCGCCGAATGTCCAGGTTTATCGCTGCTTGCCGCGTCTTGCACCACTTGCGCATTGATGCTGGGAACACGGAGATCCGTGATGCTGAAGTGGAAGAGCTGATGCTCAGGCTGGACACCAGGGGCTCGCCCAAGGAGGACCTACCCCTGTCGGACGCCACACCCAGGGTGCTCAGACGCATCAAGTGGGACAAGCTGGTCTTTAACGAGAAGCGGGCAATATAAGCCCCGGAACTAAGAGAGGGACGAAGGTCCAAGTGGAAGCAACCGAGTGCATGCGTCTACTTGCGAGATATCATCGCCCCTGCACAGAAACCAAGCCAAGGTACCGTCCGACTTGACATCGTCTTGCGGAACTTGAGAGTCAGTAACTTCAAGATCAACAAAAAACTTTGTAAGCTTTTTTTTTTTAAGTATATTTGGTTGGTTACCAAACTTTTTTTGGTGTTCTTGAGTGTACTGAGGCGGGAAGAAGATATTAGAGTGGATTTGACAGAAGTGTCACTTTCAAGTAAATTGTTGCCCCCTCCCCCGTAAGGTTGGGTGCCGCCGCGGGGTGTTTCATTTTGTCCCTTTTGTTAGCGGTCGCGCATCCGCCACGAGCGCACCTTGGGGCAAGGCATATTGGACGCCCCCTGGGGTGGTCGCCGTGCGCAAGGAGTGTTTTCTCTCTCTTTGTACATGGGGGCGGCTGCAACTCGGCGCATATTCCGTGGCCGATCAAGTTTCGATCGAGGGGTTCGTTGTGAAGCTGCAAAGACAGCGACCACTGTCAAAGCTACCCGGCTGTCACTTCAAGACCGTTGGGAACTTGACGAATGTGCCTGTATGCGCCGTGTCGGCCATTAGACACGGGGCAGCATGTGACTCCAAAACGATTCAAACCCTTTAGCCGATCCCTTCCCGAGGGCGAGAAAGACCAACGTTTCAAAAGCTCGTGACAGGGCGGGAAGGGGCGATTTTTGCTTGCTTTGGAACGACCGTAAGGAAGTTCGACGGAGACGCAAATTTCTTCCCTTTCTTGTACATAGAAGTACAAAGTTTGTAAAGGAAATAAATGTCTCGAACATAGGAACCCTCAAAAGCCTCCATTGTGTGCCAACGCACCAAGCCGCCAGCCAAGAAGAACGACGACGAAAGTTTACTGGCGCAGTCGACAGAGCTGGCAGAAAAGTATCGATGTACGTGTCGGCAAGCTGAGAACAACGAAGGGATTGTGCACCTGAACCTTCAAGGATGGGGCACAACATGTCTCCGGACCGGGACCCTGCTGGAACAAGCTCCTGCAAATGGTGGCAGACCTCGGAGCAACTGAACCGTCAAAGGGTGCAAGCAAGTAAACGCCTGCCGACGTTGCAGCAGAACGGAAACAGAACAGCCCGGACTGGGTAAGTCGGATTTCTTAATGCATCGCTAGGAGGTCGGCAGATGAATCAGGGACGAGGGACAATAATCAGCCCGAGGGTGAACTACCGAATGAGGGAAACTTAGCGAGTCCGAAGCCGTAGCCAAGCGGCGGCTCAAGGTGGAAGGTAAGACGACTCGACCGGAGTCAAGCACGGGGTCGGGCGCGAGTCACGGCTGTCGCATGAGCTCGGTTCAAAGGTCGTAACCTGCCTCGCGACGTGGACGTGCCAGTTTGGTTCGAGGAAGCCGAAAAAATAATCTCGACGTTTGGAGTGCCCCAAAACAATCGGGTGCATTTGATTATCCCTGCGCTGTCAGACAGGGTGAGGTATCTTTACGTGAGCCTGAGCGTGGAGGAGGGCGCAGACTACGAAAAGGTGAAAGCAGCCATCCTAGAGGAACTTAGACTGACACCAGAAGAATACCTCTGGCGCCTCCAAACCGTGTCTAAAAGAAAAGACGAAGGGTGGACCCAATTCGCATCGAGGATGAGGGGTTATTTTACTTATTACCTCGAGGCGAAAGCGGCTGGCACTAAGCAGGACCTAGTTCAACGGATGGTCGCGGATCGGGTGACAAACAGACTGAGCAAGGACGGCTTGAAATATGTGATTTTGCGCAAGGGCGAGGGATGGATGAAGGCCACACGAGATAGGCAAAATTCTTCAGACGTTCGAGGAGGCTGAGGGGAAGGGTTGCCTCGCCAAGGTTGTGAAGATCATCCAGCTGCTACGAGTGCCAAAAAGACACTTGGCAAGGAACTGCCCGACTAGGAAACCAAAGCCAGGAGCCCAACCTACAGCTATGTCAAAGGGACCGCGCATCCACTCTGTAGAAGCGGGAAACGAAGCGATGCCACCCGATGACTCGGGGTCATTGGTGGCAAAGATGGAACCTGGGTCACCGCAGGGGGCCCCCGTACTTCCAGCCTGCAGCGGGTCGAGATAGACCGCACTGGCGTCCCGACGAGTGCTATCCTCAACACGGGGTGCGAGATAACCGTCGTGCGAGAAAGCATGTTGCCGACGAGCGAGGGGAATCCGTCGGGATCGATGAAGTTGATTTCGGCTTTCGGACAGGCAGAAACCGCCAAGCTTGCTCGCTTGCCGCTGCCGCTGTGCCACGACGAATCGATCGTGGACGGCACACAAGTCAACATGTCTGTCAACATGTGCATGTTGACAGACGAGCTCGACCTTGGGGTAGGCTGTCTTTTGACGGGGGAGGACCGGGAGCAACTCTTGGGAGGTGCCGGGTTGTCTCCAGCGTCTCAGTGGGAAGCTTCGGCAAAGTCGGGTGTCGGCCGAGACGGTGGCGGGGAACACGAAAAGTATGAAGTTCTCACGGCATTCATGTAAACGCCGTCCCTAGCCGCGTTTACATGAATGTGACTTAAGCGCGACTCCAATCATCTTTTGAATGAAGCAGACACGGCAACATTTACATGAATGCGCACTAAGCCCTACGCGAAGGTGGCGCCACGCCGTGACAAAGATCAAAGTTAAAGCTGCATTTCCAGCCCCGGCCGCACCACGTCACCACGTTTTCCGGTGCATCACACGTGAAAGCCTTTCGACACTTTCAACGAGCGTAAAGATTGTGCCCGCTGCCTTTGGTGCTGTGCAAGAAGTTGCGAGACGGAAGAAACCCAAGCGTTTTGGACTCTGTTGAAATATAAGTTCATGGTCCCTTTAAATCTACCACCACTACTACACCGTGTACCAAAGAGCAAATCAAATGATCAGCTAATACAGACCAAAAGTGCCTGGTCGGCCAGTCTCCTAGTATTTCGTCAGGTAGGTTAGCAATGTTTATATAGTTGGCTGGCTTTTTCTTTTTTTTTTCTTAGACTTTTTCTTTTTCAGTAAAGCTATATGGACAAGCTAGTGCAACTCGACCGGAAATCGCTATACGCATGACGCCAGATAGATGGACGGATGGATACGTCTGGAGCCTTCGAATCAGGCGGCGACTCGTGCTACCTAGCGGTGGCGCCGCTAGGTAGCGCATCCTTTGATGGACGCGCCCTCTGACATTGTCTGCGGCGAACCACTGCGTGATTTTTGACATTTTGGTAATACATTGCGTGTTTCTAAAAGATTAATTTAATTTAAAAACAGTAACTAAGGCAGTTCTCGAGCCCAAGGAACTGGCGATTATGGAGTCAAGTGTAGAATCAGTGCAATCAGGCATATCCTAAGCTGTAAAGCGAAACCAAAACAGTGGACAAGAAACATGCATTGTGTGGAGCTGCAGCCAGCCGAGGAAATTGAAGATCAGCGTTGCGGGGGTGATGCGAAATTGAGTCCAGGCGTCGACGGGACGCTTTATGAAAACCCTCTACCTCGAAGAAGAGACCCGGCTTCGATCATGGCGGGAACGACCAAGGCCAGAGACGACGGAGGGGTTGGCAAAATGCAGCGACCGTGGAAGGCGGGTGTTTTTGGAGGAAACGCCCTTTAAATCGCTGAAAGAAGCTAAAGCAGCACAATATGTCTTCACGCTGTGCGCGCAGATTGAGGCTACCCAAGAGGTGCTAACGCAGGCAGTGAAACACGAACGCGAAGAGACAGGGAATATAGAGACATAACACCGTGCAGTGCTTCAAGAGGAAATCTACGCGAGAAAACAGATGGAGGCGGAGTTGAGAGAAGCTCTGGAAGAAGAAAAAACAGCAAGAAGGAAAGCAGAGACAGAAACAATGAAAGAAAGAGACAAGAGGAAAGAAGCAGAGAAGTGCCTTGCAGATATGGAGGTGAATCGAGATACTGAAGCGCATCCGAAACAGACGTGTAGCTTAAACAAAGACGACCAGGAAGAGGTACCCGGAGCCAAAGATCCAAAACAAAGGAATGCAGCAACAACGCCACCAGTGCAGCGAGGGTCGGGGCCAAACACAGCAGGACGAAGGCAAAGAAATCTTCCCCAGAAGAGCAGCAGCTGAAACCCGCAACAGAAAGAGGTAGCGAAGGGAACCGACGAACAGATGAAGACACAAGAGAGTGTGATCCTGGTAGGCAACTCAAATATGAGGGGGCTAAAAGTACTTCTCCTGGACAGGCTCAACCGGGACCGCGGGGCACAAGGAACCACCTTGCCAGGAGCAAAAATACGGGACATAATGGAGGCTGCAGAGAACCGACGCTCCCAAACACCGGAGCACATCTTGAGGGACATCCAGGGTGGCCTCAACAGTGTTCTGAATGGAGAGGACCCAAGTGAAGCTGCAAGGAGCATGATGAAACGAGTGGAAAGGTGGCACCAGCAGTCCCCCACAAGCCGCCTCTGCATCTGCTCGGTCCCCTTCTCGAAGCAAGAGGTGTGGAGGTGGGAGCCAACATGGCTGCCGTAAGCAAAGCCCTTATCCAGGAATGCAGAAACCTGGGCCAGAGAGCGGAGTTTGTCAACACATACTGGACGCTGCGAGACCTGCCAGCCAGGGCAAGGGACGGCATCCAAGACACGCCAGAAGCAGCCCAGGCCGTTGGCGAGCAGCTGGCCAAGCAGGTAACAGCTTTTTTGGGAGGGAGCCCCTGCCGGGCCAGAGGAAACAACCCCCGACATACCGTAAAAACCCGCATACAGTCGAGCCCACTTATAACGGCCGCAGATATAACGAACGCTCGCTTAGTACGAACAAGGGTGGTGCTACCGTCAAAATATACATTGGGGCAATGGCACAGTGTCTCACATAGAACGAACTGTTGCGGCCTCACCACTCGGTTAGAGCGAACGCGAAGCTGTCGGGCCCCCGTAGTTGACCGAGCCGGCGGTGCTTAACGCGGTTTCGCTCGACTGCGAACCCGCGGCAGACGAACTTCGCCCACGGAGCGTGTCCCGGACGCTCCTTTGCGGAGAAAATAAAGAAAAAAAGAAAAAGCGCGTTGAAAAATGAAAACGAAAAAGCGCGCGCGCGCGGTAACGAAAGAGAAAGTGGCGCCGCCCGCGTCGTCGGGATGCATCCACGTGATCTGCGTCGACCAATCCGGAAAGTTCGGCGCCTGCTCTACCCGCTTTACCGGCCCAAACCGGTTCTCCATTCGTTGCTGCTCCGTTGCCACCCCGGACCGCGGATATTGAGCTGTCGATTCTTTCTAAGCGATGGCACTGCGTTGACATCGTTGCCGCATTCGTGCTCTTCCCAGATCGGGGATTTGAAGGTTGCCTCAACGCGCGAGTCCAAGGGCTTGACTTGCGCCTGGTGCGATGGCGGACTGTATGCCGACCTCTTCAGGTGCTAAAAGGAAAGCAGTCGACATTGCAACGAAGATGGCCATTGTTAATGAACTTGCTCAAGGTGCAAAAAACGGCGATTTGGTCAAGAAGTACGGACTGTCGAAATCGACCATTTCGACCATTGCTAAGGACAAGGAAAAGATTCTTGGTGCTACCGTGAATGCCAACCCGACAAGAAAGCGCCTTCGGAAGGCGACCTACGCGGACGTTGAGGACGCACTGCTGAAGTGGTTCGCTGACGCCCGGTCTCGCAACGTTCCGATCAGTGGACCGCTGATGCTCTCCAAGGCTAACGACTTCGCCTTCCTTTTGGACTTTCCCGATTTCAGCCCAGGCAATGGATGGCTCCACCGGTTTAAGGCTCGCCACGGAATTGTTTTCAAGGCGGTCGTCGGCGAGGCCGCGTCTGTAAACAACGAGGACGTCGATGCATGGCTTTTCGACAACCTCCCAACAATTGCGAGCTATGCTCCACGGGACGTTTACAATGCCGACGAGACTGCGTTGTTTTATCAGATGTTGCCATCTAAAACGCATGCCTTGAAAGGCGACAAGTGCACGGGAGGTAAGAACAGCAAGTTGCGGATAACCGTTCTTCTCTGTGCCAATATGGACGGCAGTGACCGGCGGCTACCTTTTGTTATTGGCAAGTCACGTAAGCCGCGATGCTTTGGAAGCTACGTGCTCGTACGCTACAGGAACAATACGAAAGCCTGGATGAGCCGCGACTTATTCGCCGAGTGGCTTGTCGAGTTTGACCGCGACATGGCACGAAAAAACAGGAAGGTCCTGCTCGTGCTGGATAACTGTGCGGCGCACCATGTGCAGCTTTCCTTGAGTGCGGTGACAGTACTCTTCTTGCTTCCCAATGCAACCTGCAAAATTCAGCCCCTGGATATGGGCATTATTCATGCGTTCAAGGTGCAGTGATGGAAGTGCCATTTGATCTTTTGGAGCAGGCCTTGTAGCAGGCAAAATGCTGTTTTGGAGCAGGCAGTGGCCCTTTTGGAGCAGGGTCCGGCATATGTTGGCATATTACTTGAAAATGAAATAATGCTGCACTGATATATAAAGCCCATCTCTATTATTGGAACACAGCGCCTGTCGCCTTTTTAAGACAAGATATAGAAGATTCAACAAAGTAAACACAAGAAAAACATTTTTTTAAATAAAGTTTATCTGCTTGTCAGATAAAAAAAATACAATTAAATATGTCACACTGTGTTCTGATGGTACAGTATATTTAGTTTTATCAGCCTGCGCTTCTTTTAAGGTATCTGCAGCAGCATCTAACGACCCTCACTGTTGTGGAATGTTCTATACTCTTTTTCACCCCAACTTGTGCACCGGAGGCTCCACCTCTACAGGCCGCGCATTGGCCAGTCACCGTCGCACCACCACGAAGCGCTCCTCCGCCATTTTTGAATCAAATATAAACAAAAAGGTGTCTACAAAGAAAAAGTTCTATACGAGCGTCGTAATCGTGATAATCCAATCATCTTAAATAGGGCTTATTATGTAGCACGTTTTGAGCTATAATTTTTCATATGTCCAAATTTATTGGTGTGATTCTTTTTAAAATACGAATCGCACGCAGTCGCTGTGTGGTGACTGAGGCCCTACTGCCTGCGTTCGTTTGTTCACGGAAGAGTGAGTCGTTCACAAACAGAATTGCTTTCTTAATAAATACAGCACTCCCGACTTGGCTAACATCTTCTCTCAAATAAAACAATTGTACCGTCAAACTGTCCACTTAAACGGCGCAAGACTTGCAGCCTGAGTGTCTATTTCTTTACTTCTGTTGAATTTACGAACGCGTCCGGTTAACTCGGTGACGTCATGTTGTTGTTGTAGTCGGGGAATCGAATGCTCGACGCGCTCGGCCCGATTGCGTTCTTCTTCTGCGTGTTCAGATATTTTTTACAACTTTATCGTTCTGTTTTATTATTCAGCGTATTTCCTTTGTGGATATCGTTGAGGTAGTGTCCATGGCTCCATCTCCACCGCCGTCGAGACGTAAGCCAGCCGCCACGACACCTATAAATTTGTGGAAGAAGCATCGGCAAGGACGCAAGCTCTCGAGCGATTGCAAGCAGATGGTTCTTTCCGTGTACGCCAAGCTGCGAGAACAATACCCGGACAGGTTGAGGAACGACTTATACCAGCTGACGTCTGAGTATACTGGCGTCGGAGCACGGACAGTTGTTGCCATAAAGAAGGAAGCCATCACGAATTCCGGGCTCCTTCGAACTCCAACTGGTAAGCGCCCAAAGTCGGTTGGCACCCGTCGTCGCCTGGTCCAGTACGACTCTTTTGTGCTGTCTGCGTTGCGGTCCTGCGTGCACGGCTTCTTTCGAAGGAACGAAACCCCGACCGTCACGAAGATACGCGAAGCCCTCATTGAAGCGCTGAAGGATGATGAGGTCGCCGTGGAACCGAGTCCATCGACTGTGTACCGTCTTTTGCATGACATTGGGTTCGAGCTGCAGAAGAGGAGTCGCAACTCTCTTCTCATTGAGAAGGACGACATCCTTGTGTGGCGTGCGAAGTACCTCCGCTCAATCCTGAAGTTTCGAGCAGAGGGTAAGGCGATCTATTATCTCGACGAAACGTGGGTCAACGCCGGACACACCGTCAACAAGATCTGGGTCGACACGACGGTGCGTTCTGCCAGAGACGCAGGAAATCGCGGCCTCAGCACCGGTCTCAAAAATCCATCTGGCAAAGGCAGCAGACTGATTGTCACTCACGTTGGGGGTGACCAAGGCTTTGTGGAAGGTTGCCTCGACATTTTTCATGGAGTGAAGTCGGGCGATTACCACGACGAGATGGATGGCAACAGGTTTGAACATTGGTTTGACTTGTTCCTGACCAAGGTAGAGCCAGGAAGCGTTATTGTAATGGATAACGCTTCCTACCACTCAAGACGTGTGGAGTGTGTCCCCACGAAATCTTCAACCAAGAGTGTCATCCAAGAATGGCTAAGCTCAAAGGGAATTGACTGGGACAAAGACATGCTCAAGGTGGAACTAATTTCTTTAGTCTCCCAAGTGCGACACAAGTTCCTCAGCTACCGAGTGGACACACGTGCTGAAACTGTTGGGTGCACGGTTCTTAGGCTGCCCCCTTATCATTGTGAGCTGAATCCCATTGAGCTTATCTGGGGGCAAGTGAAGAATGAGGTTGCACGAAGCAACTCGTCTTTCAAACTAAAAGATGTGAAGGTGCTTCTAGAGCAGGCAATCAAGAATGTCACGAAAGACAACTGGACCGCTGCTATACAGCATGTTAAGAAGATGGAAAAGCAGTTCTGGGAGAATGACAGCCTGTCGGACAGAGAGGTTGCACCAATCATCATCGAAATCAATGCCGGAGATGTCAGCGACGACTCCTATGAAGATGAAAGCTGCGATGAAGTTGTCTCTGGATCAGGCCAGCCACACATTCCAGGTGTGGAGCCACTTAATATGTAAGCAGTGTGGCAAAGTATTTCTTCCATTGTGCTCTCCGGGAACTGCTGGAGGCCCACGTGAAGCCTTCTCTGCGTATAAGGCGGCCTGCCTGTGTGGGCTGACTCCCGAGATCTGGTATGCAACCCTGCCTCTCCGAAAACGGCTGCAGCAACACGACGAGGCGGCTTCGGAAGCCCACTTGAAGCGTTCTCTGAAAACAAGGCGGCCTGCCTGTATGGGCTGACACTCGACATCTGGTATGCAACCCTGCCTCTCCGAGAACTGCTGCAGCAACACGACGAGGTGGCTTCGGAGGCCCACTTGAAGAGTTCTCCGAAAACAAGGCGGCCTGCCTGTGTTGGCTGACTCTCGACATCTGGTATGCAACCCTGCCTCTCCGAGAACGGCTGCAGCAACACGACGAGGCGGCTTCGGAAGCCTACGTGAAGCCTTCACTGAAAACAAGGCGGCCTGCCTGTGTGGGCTGACTCTCAACATCTGGTATGCAACCCTGCCTCTCCGAGAACTGCTGCAGCAACACGACGAGGCGGCTTCGGAGGCCCACTTGAAGAGTTCTCCGAAAACAAAGCGGCCTGCCTGTGTTGGCTGACTCTCGACATCTGGTATGCAACCCTGCCTCTCCGAGAACGGCTGCAGCAACACGACGAGGCGGCTTCGGAGGCCCACTTGAAGAGTTCTCTGAAAGCAAGGCGGCCTGCCTGTGTGGGCTGACTCTCAACATCTGGTATGCAACCCTGCCTCTCCGAGAACTGCTGCAGCAACACGACGAGGCGGCTTCGGAGGCCCACTTGAAGAGTTCTCCGAAAACAAGGCGGCCTGCCTGTGTTGGCTGACTCTCGACATCTGGTATGCAACCCTGCCTCTCCGAGAACTGCTGCAGCAACACGACGAGGCGGCTTCGGAGGCCCACCTGAAGAGTTCTCTGAAAGCAAGGCGGCCTGCCTGTGTGGGCTGACTCTCGACATCTGGTATGCAACCCTGCCTCTCCGAGAGCGGCTGCAGCAACACGACGAGGCGGCTTCGGAAGCCTACGTGAAGCCTTCTCTGAAAGCAAGGCGGCCTGCCTGTGTGGGCTGACTCTCGACATCTGGTATGCAACCCTGCCTCTCCGAGAACTGCTGCAGCAACACGACGAGGCGGCTTCGGAGGCCCACTTGAAGCGTTCTCTGAAAACAAGGCGGCCTGCCTGTGTTGGCTGACTCTCGACATCTGGTATGCAACCCTGCCTCTCCGAGAGCGGCTGCAGCAACACGACGAGGCGGCTTCGGAAGCCTACGTGAAGCCTTCTCTGAAAGCAAGGCGGCCTGCCTGTGTGGGCTGACTCTCGACATCTGGTATGCAACCCTGCCTCTCCGAGAGCGGCTGCAGCAACACGACGAGGCGGCTTCGGAAGCCTACGTGAAACCTTCTCTGAAAGCAAGGCGGCCTGCCTGTGTGGGCTGACTCTCGACATCTGGTATGCAACCCTGCCTCTCCGAGAACGGCTGCAGCAACACGACGAGGCTGCTTCGGAAGCCTATGTGAAGCCTTCTCTGAAAGCAAGGCGGCCTGTCTGTGTGGGCTGACTCTCGACATCTGGTATGCAACCCTGCCTCTCCGAGAGCGGCTGCAGCAACACGACGAGGCGGCTTCGGAAGCCTACGTGAAGCCTTCTCTGAAAGCAAGGCGGCCTGCCTGTGTGGGCTGACTCTCGACATCTGGTATGCAACCCTGCCTCTCCGAGAACGGCTGCAGCAACACGACAAGGCGGCTTCGGAAGCCTACGTGAAGCCTTCTCTGAAAGCAAGGCGGCCTGCCTGTGTGGGCTGACTCTCGACATCTGGTATGCAACCCTGCCTCTCCGAGAACGGCTGCAGCAACACGACGAGGCGACTTCGGAAGCCTACGTGAAGCCTTCTCTGAAAGCAAGGCGGCCTGCCTGTGTGGGCTGACTCTCGACATCTGCTGTGCAACCCTGCCTCTCCGAGAACGGCTGCAGCAACACGACGAGGCGGCTTCGGAGGCCCACTTGAAGAGTTCTCTGAAAACAAGGCGGCCTGCCTGTGTGGGCTGACTCTCGACATCTGTATGCAACCCTGCCTCTCCGAGAGCGGCTGCAGCAACACGACGAGGCGGCTTCGGAAGCCTACGTGAAGCCTTTTCTGAAAGCAAGGCGGCCTGCCTGTGTGGGCTGACTCTCGACATCTGGTATGCAACCTTGCTTCTCCAAGAGCGGCTGCAGCAACACGACGAGGCGGCTTCGGAAGCCTACGTGAAGCCTTCTCTGAAAGCAAGGCGGCCTGCCTGTGTGGGCTGACTCTCGACATCTGGTATGCAACCCTGCCTCTCCGAGAACGGCTGCAGCAACACGACGAGGCGGCTTCGGAGGCCCACTTGAAGAGTTCTCTGAAAGCAAGGCGGCCTGCCTGTGTGGGCTGACTCTCGACATCTGGTATGCAACCCTGCCTCTCCGAGAGCGGCTGCAGCAACACGACGAGGCGGCTTCGGAAGCCTACGTGAAACCTTCTCTGAAAGCAAGGCGGCCTGCCTGTGTGGGCTGACTCTCGACATCTGGTATGCAACCCTGCCTCTCCGAAAACGGCTGCAGCAACACGACGAGGCTGCTTCGGAAGCCTATGTGAAGCCTTCTCTGAAAGCAAGGCGGCCTGTCTGTGTGGGCTGACTCTCGACATCTGGTATGCAACCCTGCCTCTCCGAGAGCGGCTGCAGCAACACGACGAGGCGGCTTCGGAAGCCTACGTGAAGCCTTCTCTGAAAGCAAGGCGGCCTGCCTGTGTGGGCTGACTCTCGACATCTGGTATGCAACCCTGCCTCTCCGAGAACGGCTGCAGCAACACGACGAGGCGGCTTCGGAAGCCTACGTGAAGCCTTCTCTGAAAGCAAGGCGGCCTGCCTGTGTGGGCTGACTCTCGACATCTGGTATGCAACCCTGCCTCTCCGAGAACGGCTGCAGCAACACGACGAGGCGGCTTCGGAAGCCTACGTGAAGCCTTCTCTGAAAGCAAGGCGGCCTGCCTGTGTGGGCTGACTCTCGACATCTGGTGTGCAACCCTGCCTCTCCGAGAACGGCTGCAGCAACACGACGAGGCGGCTTCGGAGGCCCACTTGAAGAGTTCTCTGAAAACAAGGCGGCCTGCCTGTGTGGGCTGACTCTCGACATCTGTATGCAACCCTGCCTCTCCGAGAACGGCTGCAGCAACACGACGAGGCGGCTTCGGAGGCCCACTTGAAGAGTTCTCTGAAAACAAGGCGGCCTGCCTGTGTTGGCTGACTCTCGACATCTGGTATGCAACCCTGCCTCTCCGAGAGCGGCTGCAGCAACACGACGAGGCGGCTTCGGAAGCCTACGTGAAGCCTTTTCTGAAAGCAAGGCGGCCTGCCTGTGTGGGCTGACTCTCGACATCTGGTATGCAACCTTGCTTCTCCGAGAGCGGCTGCAGCAACACGACGAGGCGGCTTCGGAAGCCTACGTGAAGCCTTCTCTGAAAGCAAGGCGGCCTGCCTGTGTGGGCTGACTCTCGACATCTGGTATGCAACCCTGCCTCTCCGAGAACGGCTGCAGCAACACGACGAGGCGGCTTCGGAGGCCCACTTGAAGAGTTCTCCAAAAACAAGGCGGCCTGCCTGTGTGGGCTGACTCTCGACATCTGTATGCAACCCTGCCTCTCCGAGAACGGCTGCAGCAACACGACGAGACGGCTTCGGAAGCCTACATGAAGCCTTCTCTGAAAGCAAGGCGGCCTGCCTGTGTGGGCTGACTCTCAACATCTGGTATGCAACCCTGCCTCTCCGAGAACTGCTGCAGCAACACGACGAGGCGGCTTCGGAGGCCCACTTGAAGAGTTCTCCGAAAACAAGGCGGCCTGCCTGTGTTGGCTGACTCTCGACATCTGGTATGCAACCCTGCCTCTCCGAGAACTGCTGCAGCAACACGACGAGGCGGCTTCGGAGGCCCACCTGAAGAGTTCTCTGAAAGCAAGGCGGCCTGCCTGTGTGGGCTGACTCTCGACATCTGGTATGCAACCCTGCCTCTCCGAGAGCGGCTGCAGCAACACGACGAGGCGGCTTCGGAAGCCTACGTGAAGCCTTCTCTGAAAGCAAGGCGGCCTGCCTGTGTGGGCTGACTCTCGACATCTGGTATGCAACCCTGCCTCTCCGAGAACTGCTGCAGCAACACGACGAGGCGGCTTCGGAGGCCCACTTGAAGCGTTCTCTGAAAACAAGGCGGCCTGCCTGTGTTGGCTGACTCTCGACATCTGGTATGCAACCCTGCCTCTCCGAGAGCGGCTGCAGCAACACGACGAGGCGGCTTCGGAAGCCTACGTGAAGCCTTCTCTGAAAGCAAGGCGGCCTGCCTGTGTGGGCTGACTCTCGACATCTGGTATGCAACCCTGCCTCTCCGAGAGCGGCTGCAGCAACACGACGAGGCGGCTTCGGAAGCCTACGTGAAACCTTCTCTGAAAGCAAGGCGGCCTGCCTGTGTGGGCTGACTCTCGACATCTGGTATGCAACCCTGCCTCTCCGAGAACGGCTGCAGCAACACGACGAGGCTGCTTCGGAAGCCTATGTGAAGCCTTCTCTGAAAGCAAGGCGGCCTGTCTGTGTGGGCTGACTCTCGACATCTGGTATGCAACCCTGCCTCTCCGAGAGCGGCTGCAGCAACACGACGAGGCGGCTTCGGAAGCCTACGTGAAGCCTTCTCTGAAAGCAAGGCGGCCTGCCTGTGTGGGCTGACTCTCGACATCTGGTATGCAACCCTGCCTCTCCGAGAACGGCTGCAGCAACACGACAAGGCGGCTTCGGAAGCCTACGTGAAGCCTTCTCTGAAAGCAAGGCGGCCTGCCTGTGTGGGCTGACTCTCGACATCTGGTATGCAACCCTGCCTCTCCGAGAACGGCTGCAGCAACACGACGAGGCGGCTTCGGAAGCCTACGTGAAGCCTTCTCTGAAAGCAAGGCGGCCTGCCTGTGTGGGCTGACTCTCGACATCTGCTGTGCAAC